CAGCCATTTTCAGAGCCCGGCAGTTGTTTTAAAGCAACAAAGCCCCCCTTTTTGCGCAAACACCTCTCCACAACGATAAGAAGAGAAGGATGCAGAAAACAAGAGCGTGGAGCATCTCCCTAATGCTATTTCTCTGTGGCAAAGCGCTTGGCACTTCCACGGCGGCAAGTGCTGGAGGCGCTTTCTCAGAGGAGACGCTCCACGTGTGCCCAGGCGTGGGGACCAGACACGCAGAGGATGCTCGGAGAGGGAAGGTAAAAGGGGGAGACACGCTGGGTGGGGGGAAAACCAGGCGTATGTTTGAAAGAGCCACCTGGAGGGATGCAGGCAGCCAGCACGGGCTCGCCGGGACAGATATTGTCGGGGCCCCCCCACCTTTATCCCTTCATCCTTTAAAAGATGCCACCATCAAGGCAAACCGGCACCAGTTAAAATTTGCCCTGGCTCCCCCGATCCATCACCCCCCATCCATCCGCCACCCCCTGCAAACCTTTCGGGCAGGGTACCCGCCACGTTACCTGCGTTTTCCTCCTCTTCCTCACAGCTCTGACGGATTTTCTTCTGGCACACGTACGCCAGGACGGCGAGCAGCCCCACGACGCAGATGGCGAGTCCCACCGTCACCCAGAGAGCCACAGCGGGGAAGGCGAGGTGTTGGCCTTGCGGGGAGGTGGGGGGGGAAGAGAAATACCACCACGGTGAGCACCGCGTGGCCAGTGTTCAGGTGGCAGGGCACATCCCCATGGATGGAGGCAGTGGCACAAGGGGTGGCTTTGGAAGTAAAACCATCGGTGCCTCTAATTATGGCCTCCCCCGGCAGGTCTGGATCCAGGTGGGGAAGCAGCAGGTTGAGTCACTCTCTAAAATACTTCGTTAACCTTTAAATAACGGCACTAATAAATACAAATGGCAGGCTGACCCTTCACTTGCTAAGAAGCTCAAGAGAAGCATTAGATGATGGTGCGCCCACTCCCTTTCCCCTCTCATCTCACGCCACAGGGCCGGGGACACCTTCCCCAGGATCTGGGATGGCCTGGCAGGGACCACCAGGGCTTGGGGGATATCTCCTGGAGTGCTGGGGATCTGATTTCTCCCCGTAATATCGCTCCTTCTTCAAATAAAGTCTTATCCCAAACCCTGACCCTCCACAGACGTCACCCCAAGGCTGACCATTTACTGGCGCGCTTGGGAGCCCATGCAAAAGCCACCCCTCTGTCCCCAGCCAGCAGCATCCACGCAAGTTCTCCTGCAAGAGTTTGGTGCATCCAGCCAAAAAGTTTATGCTCCACCTGGGATTCACCTTCCCAATCCAGTAAGAGCCCTACCAAAGGTAATTAAACACTAATCAACGCTACCAGGGAGCGCACAAGGTTATAAAGAGCTCCAGGAGGGCAGCGGGAGGAGCTCGAGCTCGAAGTGAAGCCACGAGGCTGAACGCGCTCGATGAACTCCTCCAGCCTGTATTTCTGCAGTAGGATTGTTGCAGCTGGGATGAAGAACCCCAAATTGAGAGCATCCCATGGCGACGTGCTAAGGAGAAGACACTAACCATGCCCTGTGCTCGCTTTCTGGGGTGGTTTAGACTTGGATGGGGCAACTAGCAAAGCTAGAGACTAAGAACTAGGGCCGCTGGTGTGGGGTGACGGGGGAGGACAGCACAGCCTCAAGTCACCCTTGCGGGTCCGTGAGGGAGAGTCGGGGTATGGGGTAGCAACCCCCAGGGTGGCTCCGGGCCACGGTAGGGATCCTGGCATGTGCTGGTTTCAGCTGGGAGAGAGTTAATTTTCTTCCCAGTAGCTGGTGTAGTGCTGTGGTTTGGATTTAGGATGAGAAGAACGTTGATGGCACACTGATGTTTTAGTCGTTGCCAAGCAGTGCTGACGCTAGTCAAGGACCTTCCAGCTTCCCATGCTCTGCCAGGTGCACAAGAAGCTGGGAGGGGGCACAGCCAGGACAGCTGACCCAAACTGGCCAATGGGGTATTCCATA